TTTAGCCGTCCCCTGAAGATCTTGCCTTCTTTTAAGTATTTTTGTATGCAACACGGAAGGGCGGTGTGGTAAAAATGAGGCAGCTGCCGGTACCCTCAGCAAAGACGGAGCAGAGAATTTTTCTCAAATCCTTGCAGAGATGCAGAGCTGGAAGCAGGGAGGAAAGATGGGCGGGGCTGTGGAGGAGAGAGCGTGGCTGAAGTGCTGTGTGACCTCAGACTCGTCTTTCTCTCTGGACCTCTGCCCCTTTATGCGTAAAGAGAGGGTAAATCTGATCTGTGGTTCCTACATGAGATTGGTCATCCGAATTCATTTGTACATCCATCTACCCATTCATTCATTCATTCATTCATTCAACAAATATTTATTGGGCAAAAAGTTACACTATGCCAGGCACCATACCCCTGGGGATTCAGTGGTGAGAAAAGAGACTAGTGCCCACTCTCATGAAGCTTACATTCTAGTCCAGAAGACAAACGGTTAGCAAATAAGCATAGAAAATGGTCATTTCGCATAGTAACAAGTGCTCTGCAGGAAGGCACAGTGGGCTCCTGTGATGGAGGCAGGTCAAGACAGGGGAAGGATTACATAAAGGGTCAGGGAGGGCTTTGCCGAGAAGGTGACATCTGAAAGAAAGGAAGGAGTTGGCCATGCAAAGAGCTGGAGGAACAGCATGCTGGGTGGAGGGAACAGAAGGAGCAAAGGTGCTCTTCCTTGTGGAAAAGCGAGGAGGCCATGTGGCTTGAGCAGAGTAAGGGACAGAGAGAGGTAGGAGATGGGGTCTGGAGCAGGCAGAGGCCAGATCATACAGAGCCTTTTAGTCCTGGTAATCAGCTTGGGTTTTAGTCTTGATCCCATAGGAGGTGGAATTGCCTAGAATGTGTCTTTAAGATTCAGATTCTCCCATTCCACCCCTTTGAGACTCTGACTTATTACAGGTAGGATGGGACCTAGGAATCTGTATTTTTAAAAACTTCTTGGAGTCCTCTGATAGTGTGCCAGGTTTGTGACACCCGGGATTACATGCTTTCTGAGTCTTTTTCAGTTTTGAGAAAGCTGAGAAGCAAAGTGTTAGAACATATTGAAAAAAAAGATCTTAAATGTCATATTGGAGAGGATTCCTTTCTTCCTTCCCTCACCACTCTCTGTCTGCCTGGTAGAATTAATTATGTCTTTGTTTGTTTTATGATCCCGGGTGGGGTACCCAACACCTGGAAAGTGAAGCCAGTGTCACTGGAGGAAAGAACAGCCTACGTCATCAGAGAGCGCCAAGTTAGAAGTTGGAGCAGCTCCATTACCCCTCTCCTCATCCAGCCGCTGTCAGGATCCCCCATCCCTGATTCTGAACCCGGCTGCTGGCAGTGATGGCTCAGGCACTGTCCTCACCTTGTCCCCAGTGCCTGGCAGTAGCACCCACCAGCTTTCCCTGCAGTGCAGAATAACCCATGCCTCTCCTCTCTCCACTGGCACGAGTCACTGAGACCTTCCGCCCAGTGCCAGCACTATCTGTCACATATTTATTTGCTGCCAGATTCCTCACATCAGCTCTCCGTTTTTCCCTATCATGCAGGTGCCTCAGGTACAGATTTGTCTTGATTTCCTATAATGCCCAGAGAGCCCCAAATACCATTCTTATGTGAGTCCAACTCAAGGCTCTGCTGGGCAAGACGCATATGTTGATAAGCGCACTGATCACTTTTCTAAGAGAAATACGGAGTAGGATAGAAAAGCACTGACCGAGCCATCTGGTAGACTGAGGCATTGGCTGGGTTATTTCCACCAAGTGTAACCGGAAGGGATTAGTTCAAAGCATCTCAGACGCCCTTTCTGACTGTTTGAAATAAATGAATGTTCTCTTTAGCCAACGCATGTGCTCTTTCATTTATTCGTTGGACAAATGTTCTAAGTGTTTAGCAAGCAGCAGGCTCTGGAACAGTAAGACATGGCGCTAGACTGGAGCCCATAGTCTCGTGTGAGAGCAGACAACGGAAGGGCAGCAACAACCCATATCAGTGAGAGCTGCAGTGAGGGCAGCAAAGGGACTAACATATCCTAGAAAAGGGGTTAGAGCTCCCCGAAGCCTGCTCCCTACAACACAGTTTCCACCTCCTCCATGGTGACTCCATCCTGCCCACTGCTCAGGCTCAAAACCTCGCAGTTGACCTTGACCCCTCCCCTTCTCTTATTCTCTTGCTTCCCACATTTCACCAGCAGCAAAGGATGCTAGTTCTTCTCTCATAACATATCAGAATCTGGCTTCATCTCATCACCACCACAGCTGCCACCCGGATCGGAGCGTGGACTATTTCAATCACCTCCCAGTCTCTGTCATTCCCTCCCTTCCTTCTAGTGTCCTCAGCCAGTGGAGTGACCCCTCCAAATGTAAGCCAGACCATATCCCTCTTCTGTTCCAAAGGCTTCCTGTCTCAGCCACAGAGGACCAAAGGTCTTCTCATGACTTACAAAGACAGGATCTCTGATCTCCCCTCTTATCACCCCAGCCCTTGCTGGCTGCTCCTTGTACGTGCCAAGATCTTTGAACTTGCTGTTCCCTCCACCTGGAGCACATTTCCCATTCCCCACAGATACTTGTGTAGAAGTTATACATTACTAGGCAAAAAGTTACCCAAAATCTTTTTGGTTTAAAACAACAATAAATAGTTATCATTGTCTTGCAGTTTCCGTGAGTCAGGAATTCGATTGGGTTTGAGATTGCAGTTAGATGTCAGCCAGGGCTGCAGTCTCAGTTGACGGCTTGACTGGGGCTGGAGGATCCACTCCCAAGGTGGTGCTCTCACATGGCTGGCTGGTGCTGGCTGTTGGCGGGAGGCCTTGGTTCTTCTTCACATGGGCCTCTCCACAGGGCTGCGGGAGGGTCCTCACAATGTGATGGCCAACTTCCCTCAGAGTCATCAGCCCAAGAGGGAGAGGGAGAAGCTGCCTTCGTGACCTCGTCTTGGAAGTCACACATGATCTCTTCTACTACATTCTATTTATTAAAAAGTGAGTCACTAAGCCCATCCAATATTCAACGGGAGGGAAATTAGGCCCCTTCTGTTGACGGCAGGAGTGTTAAAGAGTCTGTGAGCACATTTTAAAACCACCACAAACTGCACGGTTAGTCCCTGGTCCTTCAAGTCTCTACTCCCCTGTTACCTCCTCAGAAAGGCCTTCACGGGTTCTCTGTACAAAATAGCAGTCGTCCCCTCCCATCTCCTAGCCCCACTACACTGATCTAGTCTCTCCGTAATTTATTACCATCCGAGAAGCCGTGTTATTACCTGCTTATGTGTTTATTGCCTGCTCCCCCGTCTAGCACGTAAAGTCTATGATCACAGGGGACACCAGTCTTGTTCACTGCATCCCCACACTTAGAACCGGCCTGGAGACACTGCAGGCCCTCAGGGAATTGGAGTTAGTGAATGCGGGTTAGCCCAGCCAGGATAAGTATGGGAAGAGGCAAGCTTTGCTGGAAGCTGGGCTTAAACTGAGCTTCTTTGAGTTTTCTAAGAAGAGCCAGGACAGCATTCTGTGTGGATGGATGGAGCAACGACGTGGAAATGGAGCCTTCACAATAGGAGAAGTGGAGCAGGGGGGTGTCAGGAAAACTGAAGCTGAATAGGATGGTGGTGGGGGGGTAGTTCTGGAAGCATGGAGCCAGTGGTGAGGGGGGCTGGGCAGCCCTGACTAGAATCTCCGTCCCTCCTGGGCTTGCAGTATCTCCCAGCTCTGCTTCTAAAGATGCACCGATAAGCTGCTGACAAAGACGGATGTGTTTTGCTGCCCTTCCCTCAATATTGACTGGGCTGGGCCTGCTCTGCTGACAGCCCTAAGGAGCAGAGGGCTTATCAGATGCATTCATCCCGAGTCATAAAACCAATCTTGATGCACTGGCTGCAGGAGCTTGGTGATGAGAAACGCTGATGCCTTTGATCAATGCTTGACCTGGGATCTGCAGGCAGGGTGAGTGGAGAGGGGAATTTGCTGGTTGGTGCCAGATTCACCTGTATCTCTCAAATTCCTGACTCCTCCGGGTTAGGAGCCAGGAGATTTGAGTGACAGTCTCTTCAAAGACTGAGTAACTAGGCACCTTCTGTTTCCTCTCTGGGACTCAGAGAAGGAGGTGAGACTCAGGTAATTTCCTGGAGGTGTCTGGAGCTCATCTCAGAGGCAGAGAAGGGAACTTCAGGCCTTCATGGGAACTGCTGTCCCAAGTAGGTGGCCTCATACCTGCTAAGGACACCACATTGGAGGTTCGGGTCACAAGGACGTAAAGGGAAAGAGAACTGACACTTTTTAGACTGTTCTCTTTGCTTATATTATCTTGTTTTATCTTCACAACTCAGCAATATATGGACTGATATTACTCCCTATTTTATCACTGAAGAAACTATAACTCAGAGAGGTTGAGTGACTGGCCCAGGTCCTCTAGCTACTAAATGGTGCAGATAGTGTTTGAATTCAGGGGTCTCTCTTTCATATACAGATAAGGCAGAGAAATGGGATAGAGATGGCGAAGGGGGGTTGGAACTAATCCTGCCATGCCTTGGCCTCCAATTACATCTTGAGGAAGGAAGTGAAATGCTGGTTTCCAGCCTCTCCCTGTGTTTCGTCAGGTTAGGCTAGGCTATGCTGCAGTAACAAACACACCCCTCGATCTCAGCAGCTTGACCTAACTAAGGTTTATTTCTATCATGCAAAGTCTCATGTGGTTCAGGCATCTCTTCTCCATCACTGAGCTCCACCTTTCAGAATATGTGGCCTCCAAAGTCACTGTCACAGAGGAAGAGAGAGCTGGAGAAGGCACACAGATCTTATTGCCTTGAGCTGGAAATGACATATGTTACTCCCACTCAGAGACTAGTGGCCAAAGATAAGTTCATGTCACCAACCTAACTGCAAGCAAAGTTGGGAAATATTAGGACCGCTATTAATATTTGATGAACATTAACAGTCTCTCAGATCCTAACACTTTTGCTTCCTTATTTCTTCCCCTGTAGGACAGAACCTCAGAGCAGCCCCATGGTCCCTGCTCAGGATGGACCCTCGGAAAAGCTGAGCCAGCATCTGGCCACTGAGGCCTTGGGCACCAACAGCTGGGAGAGAGACAAGGCCTGCCGGGAGCTCAGTCCTGCCAGAGCACGCAGGTGAGATGCTCCCCGACTCCTCCTCAGTCCAATGGGGAAGATCAAGTGGAGGATGCAGAAATGAAGTTCATCTCTCTGGCCACTCCTCCCCTCTCTCTTTTGCAGGTTCCTCTTTCAAACCCTAAAATTAAATCAAAAGTCAGCAAATTTTTCTGTGGAGGACCAGACAGCAAATATTTTAGGCTGTGGGCCAGATGGTCTCTACCTCGACTACTAGCTCTGCCGTTGTAGCACAAAAGCAGCCATAGGCAATGTGGAAACAGACAGGCACAGCTGTGTGCCAATAAAACTTTATTTATAAAAACAGGAGACAGGCTAGATTTTGCCTGTGGGCCACAGTTTGTTGCCCCTGCCTTAAATGATAGAGTTAGTTCTTCTCCATTTTAATGACTCTATGAGCCATGACTCCCAAATTGTGATTTCAGCCCAGATCTGCCTCCTGAGTTTCAGATCTTTGTGTTTCCTCCTTAATTCAGTTATTCAAACAGGATTTCTTGAGCACCTACCACACGACAGGCATTGTGCTGGCGTCTGAGGATACAGCACTTTACTGAGGCTCAGAGAGGTAAAGTGGTTTCCCGAAATATGGCAGCCAGTAAGCGGCAGAGTGAGGGTTGGAACTCTGGTCTCTCTGATCTTAAATCCTAGACTTACACCCATCACATCATACTGTTGATGCTAATGAAAAGGCCAATCCAGCCCCTGCCTCCTATTTATAAATTTTGTGCTATATACAGCCAGCCGGTTGAAAGCCTTAGTTCTATTCCTCAAATTAACCCACACTCTCTCACTGCCCTGGGCCTGTATCTACCCCCCCCCCCCCCCCCCCCCCCCAATGACAGATGGAAAATGGATCAAGTGTTTTTGTCAGCAAGACTCCCCAGATACAAGCCCTGCCTCCTTATGTTGAATCGGAGTGTCAAAGCCGTTTTACAGATGCAGAAACTGAGGTCCACTGGTAGTAGGGCAAAGATTAGCCTGAGGCCCCCTGCTCTGGTCCAGACTCACTCCTTATGGCCTAGAGTCCTTGGTTTACTGAGGTAGACTTTCTAAGCCCTACTGGGCGCTCATCTGAGAATTAGACAGAAGCTATGAGTAGTTGGGAAGCCAGAGTAGCTTTCATGGATGAAGTCCGCCCTTCCCTCCAGGCCGCCCTCTCAACTATGGGTTTTAGTTAGGCTATGATTCCAGTGACGGAGAAACAGTTAAATCCTGTCCGCTTGGAGAAGCGAACTTCAACATCAGATCTGCAGAATCGTCTTCAGGAAACAGGAAAAAATTGTTTCCATAAGATGCTGAGGGAGATGGAGAGAGAATGAGGAGGAGGAGAATTTCCTTATTCTCAAAACATCGTCTCCCCGATGGCCGAAGGGGAGTAAATATGTCATGGAGACTTGTGTTCAAACCTGGACACTACCACTTACTAACCGGGCGACTATGGGCAAGTTCGTTTTCCTCCCTGGGCCTCAGTTTTCACATCTCTAAAATGGGAATATTGAGATCTAATTCCAGAGGTCAGATGAGGATTAAATCAGATCAGGCGTGTACAGATCCCGACAGTGAGTGTGGAATACAAGAGGTGCTTAAAATGTTAGTTAGAGTCTCATGGAGCCTGAAGAGAAGGTTCTCTTCAGACAAGGGCAGGACAATCTGGAAAGTGATGCCGTGTTATCAACTCGATTGTGAGTGTGTGGGCCTCTCACTCCCTTCTCCTATCTGTGACCCACTCTCTGACATGATAACAACCACAATAGTGAGGATGATGCTAATTATAAAGTCATAACAATTTTAATACTAGAAGTTCATTTACTGTGAACTCACTCTGTGCCGGACCAGGACACATTACCCGAGCGAGCTCCTTTATTCCTCACAGCCATCTTACGAGACAGGCATCATGTTTTATTCCCATCTTACAGAGGACGAAAATGATACTCAGGGAGGTCGCTGAGCTAGGAATAGAGCAGGAAGTTAAACCCAGGTGTGTCCATTTCTCGAGCCAGCGTTCTTTATGGCTGCGTAGTTCCCCTCTGCGCGTTTGACTGCTGTGTTCTGAAGCATTGTAAATATAACCACTGCATACTTACCCGCCGCGTCTCTCACTGCTGCTTATGTAACTGGGGTGTCCTTAACCACTATTCTGGCCCTTCCAGCCCCCTTGAGGGCACACCTAGGAGAACGGGGGCAGGGGAAAGAAAGGGCTAGAAGAAATGTAGACCTACCTCGGTAAAAACATTTAGGATTTGTGGAGGGGGTTGATTATCCTCCCCTCACAGTCCTCAGTCCTATCCAAATTCAAGTGCTGTCTTGATTTGACCCCACCGCTTAAATCTGAATCTAGGACAGTGGTTCTCAAACCTTGCTCCCCTGGCACCCTGGGGTTCCAGAAGTTAGAGTAATTGACCGAAATAATGACATCTTTCTCTGTTTTATAGGACACACTTTTAAAAGGTGTGGTTTTTTTCCCCTTAAGTATTTCTCCCTTAAATATTTTTGGGGTTTTTTTTTTCCCTCAAATTCCTGGCAGCTGTTACACTGAGAAGTGTTTATAGGAACCAAGATGATTTAACAAGCAACTAAATTCTTTCATCCATTCATCCCTCTTTTGGTCCCTTGACAAATATTTATTAGGCTCTTACTGTGTGTCAAGCACTTGTTAAAGGAAAAATTTGGAAGTGACCCACCATGTTTAAACAAGCAGGCTGTTTGTATCCTGGCTATGAGTGCCAGGCTTTATGCTTTATAACGTGTATGCATAGTTAAGTAGCTGGATACTCAACCCCTATGATATTTATTTTTAACCTACTAAAAGTGGCGCTTGAAAGTGTTATAGATGTAGCTATAAGATTTTATGTATTGGAGATGCAGAGCGATTAACATATATTCTAATCACTTTATCATTTTTTCTACTGAGCCGTTCCAAAATCTTAGAATGGGAGGAAACAGAGCAGCATTTTATGATGTTCTGTAAAGAGCTGAGTAATTTCCAAAAGATCAGCCACACAGACGAGTTTGAGAAGGTATCTGGTTTTGTGCAAAAGCTTTTACGGTAGGATTCACACAAGCCTTGATTCAAATCCCAGACCGGATGCTTTCCTAGGCTGTGCGGACCAGGCAAGCCAATTTGACCGGCTGAGCCTGATTTTCTTCACCTGTAAAACGAGACCATAAAAATCATACCACTCTCAAAGTGGTTTTGTGAGCATCAAAGTATATAAAACACTCGGCACATAATAAGTGAATAAATGGTATCATGTTGTTACTAATAATGACAATAATACCATTATTAATACTATATTTTCCCAGTGAGGATCAACTGGGTTGGCATGTTTCCGTTCACAAGCAGTTTTGCATCCCAAACCGTCTCCTTTTGCCATGGGATACTGTTTTAAAAACATCCCTGGAGCCTGCCCCAATTATAAAAGGAGATAACTTGGTTTCATTTAACTCTACCCCGAGCGTTTGAATTTAATTGAACAGGAAATAATTATTCCTGAAGAGCCAAGGTTTTGGAGGTTCTGTGAGGCAATATAAGATATGTGTCTCATTGCATTAGACCTCGGCAAATATGCTTTTAATAATCAGCTGCTACTTATCATCTCTTCTGCCTCCTATTCAATTTCCAGCAGGAACTAGAGACACGATGTGTTGTCGAGGGAGGGGGCTGACCTGCCGATTAATTATTTAAAAAGTGATTTATTTACCAAGGTGAGCCATTTGCAAATTCAATAATAAATCTATTAAGGAGCAGTTAACCTCTATAACTCTGTTTTAAATAATCAATTGGTGTTTGGATAACGTGCAGCGTCTGTCTCATTAGGTTGGCATTAACTCCTTATTTGAGGCACTTAATCTGAAGTGTGACCGAATCAACCAGGAGGTGATAATTAGGTATTTGCTTAGGGCCCTTCATCCTCCAAGGAACTGGGTCCTCCTTCCCCAGCTGCAACGGCCCTGGTTGGGGGCTTGGGGAACCCTGGGTCCCCTAATGCTGACTCTGTGCTTCCCAACAGTGCCTCCCGAGTCAAAGACTTGACACCACTGCCTTCCTCCAGGGGAAAGAAGAAAAAGAAGAAATCCACCCGGAAGAAGAGAAGGAGGTGAGGGCCCTAAAGGGAGATGAAACCTTGAAGACGGGGGAAGGGACAAAATAGTCAATAGATAAAAATAGGAGTAATATTACAAAATAGGAGTAATACGGGTTTCAGAGTCAAACAGCAACTCCTCTTGGGTTCCGATCCCCTCTCTGCCTCTTAACTCGCTGTGTGATCTTGGGCAAGTCACTTCACCTCTCTGTGTCTGTTTCCACTTATATAAAACGGTGATAAAACCTACCTCTTGGGGTTTCGTGAGAATTAGATGAGAAAATGGATGTGCCAGCAGCTGTCACAGTGTCTGCCATGTAGTAAATGACCGATTAATCAGAAGCATAGTCATGACCATGAATACTGATTTTTTTTTTTTGAGAACTTACTCTGTGTGGATGGCTGTGCTAAGTACTGTGAGCGCCATGATCTTTTTTTACCCTTGACCACAATCTACTAGACGAGCATTATTATCTCCATTTTATTTTTATTTTTAAAAAATTTTCTCCAATTATATTGAGATACAATTAACATGTAACTGCATTCATTTAAGGTATACAAACAATGGTTTGTTATATGTATACTGTACTTAACACCCATCACCTCACATAGTTACCATTTTTATTTCTTGTGATGAGAACTTTTAAGATTTAATCTCTTAGCAACTTTCAAACGTATACTACAGTATTGTTAATTATAGTCACCTTGCTGTATATTATGTGCCCAGGACTTATAACTATTATCCCCATTTTGAAGATGAGAAAAGACAAGGCAAAGAGAAGGGGTGACAGAACCTACAGGGACTTGATCCCAGGCTCCCCAGCTGGTTCCACCACTCCCACCTCGCAAGTTGAACGCCAAGAATAATGACCTTTATGTTTTTTGCTAGCTATTGGCTCTTTTGTACCCTACAAATTTTTTTCTATGTACAATCCCTTTAAATTCTTTTTTATTTAAAAAGATTTCCAGATTTTCTTCTAGCTGCCACTTACTAGATTAAAAGCATGTCCAGTGGTCCAGACCCAGAGGGATGGGCAGAGACCTCAGGGGCGGGTTGAAAACACACGGAACCTCGGAGGCAGTATTCGAAGGAGCCTGCAGGGGGCAGCAGAGAGCAGCGTCTGGCTGACTCGGGCCCCAGCTGCCTGATTTCCTCTGCACCCCGTTAGCCCTTCGCCGAGTCCTAAGGGGAGGGGCCCAAAGTGGACAAGGGGGGAATGTGAATGAAGACCCTCAGTGTAGGGGGAGGAGTGGAAGGGGACAAGTGGCTTGAGCTTCCTGATTTTAGGGCTGGGCAGGAGAACACTTCAAATAAGGAAAAAGCAGACATCAGTCTTCACTATTTCCTTCATTCAATAAATGTCCACTGAGCACGTGCTTGGGGACAGCACTGTGATTTCCTAAGAGTCAACCCTTATCTTCCCCTGCAGACATGTTTTATTTGACCTGTAAAGTGTTTTTTGTCTTTTTAATCGGTGACTGACATTTAAAAACCAGGAGATTTCGTATGAAAAGATGTTTTTCTGGCAATCTCTATTGAAAAGGCAGGTGTCCTGGAAGCCTGGGTTTGCATTCCCACGCAGGACCTAGGCTGATCTGAGGAGGAGCTGTGCTGTCTGTCAGGCACTCTCTGGTTCACCACAGTCCCCACCACTCCCTATTGTCCCACACCCAGTCTGCTTTGTGCATTCGTGCTATCTGAGAGGCCCCTGTTGGTACCGAGTTTGCAACTCCTAGTCTGTTTCAACCTTGGTATGTTGTCAGTGGGGGAATAAGAAATGTAGAATGAGCAGGACATGCCCAAGGCGACCTCCTCAGTTGGTGGGTGAGTCAAGATTGGAACTCAGGTCACCTGAACCTCAGTCACAGTCATGGTCCTAGGGTGGCTCTGTTTCTCAGGTCACCCCTGACAGCACCAGCCATGCTGACCACAGCCTGGCGAGATCTCCTCCAGGGGCTCCATCTTATCAGGGAGACCACAGGGTGGGGCAGAAGAGAGGCCTAAAGTATATGAGAGGAGGGGCCCAGCTTGGAGGAGAACAGCAGAAAAAAGGAAATGTTTATGGCCTGACTGTGAGGGGACAGAGTGATTGACAGCAAGGCCTTTGGGGTCAGAGAGGCTTCAGTTTTAATCAGCTCCTCCATGTCCTAGCTGTGTGTCTTTGGGCAAGCCACTTGACCTCTCTGAACCTCACTTTCTTTGTCTGAAAAAGGAAGATAGCAATTGTACTTCCCTAAAAAGTGTGTGGAAGGACTAAGTGAGATAACGTATGTAAAACACACGATAACGTTGAAAACACATGCAAGCTAATATTAGTGTTGACGTTATCCTTGATGTGTGTTACGGGAAGAGCTGGGACCGTGTATGAGGCTGGGGAAGGGTCTGTGAAACCAGCCGTGGCCTTTAAGAGCCTCCCTCTGAGGGTGTCTCCCTCCCCTGGCAGGTCCGCATCATATAGCCCATCGCCTGTCAAGAAAAAGAAGAAGAAAAGTTCCAAGAAACATAAGCGACACAGGTATGGTCCTTCCTCCCCTGTGAGCAGGGACGCCCAGGTGGGGTGGGGTTGGGGTGAGAGTGGATGGCACCTAAAAGTCATTGGAAGCTTATCATTTCATTTATGTTAAATACTCATCTATGTATTGTTATTTATTTGTCTCTTTATAACTTGGGACCCCGGTCGCAAGGACCAGAGCCCCCTAAAGCTGACTCAGGCCAGAAGGGGGATTTGCTTACAAGGAGACAGGCATGTCTTAGAGCCCAGGCAGGCCTCAGAAAGGAGCTAGCACCAGGGAGTAGAGAGCTGGGAGCACCCACGCGGGACGCACAGTCCCCGAGTCCACGTGGCGAGATGGGTGCACCCTGTCCCCGTGTCTCCACATTGCAGGCTCAGCCACAAAAAACCACTGACTCTTTCTGCCTTGTTCCTTATCCCAGTTCCCAAGGAAAGGGCTCTCTGGTTGGTCCAACTGTGTCCTGGGGGGGGGTGGGATCATGGAAAACACAGCCGCTGGGATTGTCCACCCTTGTGGACAGTCATTAAGGGGCATTATGAACGGTTGACATGTTCCAAAAGATGTCCACTATGCACACACGCACACACTCTCACACTCCTACTCACACACATGTGTATGTTTATGGGGAAAAAAAAGACCGGAAGGATATCCACCTGAAGACACAAATCTGTGGCTCATGGGCCAAGCCATTATTTCATAAGCGGAAGATTTTGCAATACAAAAATCCAGTTTTCCAGGTCCTCTATAACATCAGAAGCTCCATCTTCATTGGACCAGTTTCCCACAGGTGACCCTCAGCTGAAGCTGAGGAGTGGCTGTGCATTTAGACAGAGCAGGGATGCGTCAGTTTGCCGCAGGCCTCAGTTAACCTGCTCCCCGCATTTGCACACGTTTGCAAAGCCTGCCTGGCCCTGGGGCCAGGGAGTTAGAAGCCCCCTGTGTAAGTTATTTGCTGTGGTGGGCTGTGGATGACAGGGACAGAGCGGTTTATATTTTATTCTTGCTTATCTGTATCTTCCATTTTCCTACGTCAATGGGGGATTACTTGTGCAATTAACTACATCAGCACAGAAGGTAAGAGGTCATTTGGGTTTTCCCCTGCATCTCAGCCTTGCTTCAAAGTTGCCTCAACGTGGACGTTTCCCAATCCAGGGGTGCGATCAAATCTCAGCTCTTGTTGCCAGAATGGTCTCAACTCAGTGTGGTCTCACCAATCACGTCCACTATCTTCCCAAACATTCCAGTTGATGTTGAGTTCATGCTGAAAGCAAGACGTGGGCAAACCAATTAATGCCATGTTGATGTGGTGTCAGAAACTTTCCCCAGCATGGCGTTCTTTGTGGGAACTCCATGACCTGCCCATGACTATAGACTACCATCTTGTCACCTTCCGACGCTGAACAATTTGTCCCAGTTTAGGGGTTGGCTGGGGAAGGGGGAAGCATTTTTCTAAATCTGGATCTTGGAAGCGAAGTCGCTTCTCACTCAGGGGTTTCTTCTCATGAGAAAGAGACTGCGCCCGAAGGTTAGAAACAGGCTTTTTCCGCTGGCTACCATTGGCCCAAGGGTTAGAGGGAAGGAGGATCATAAAGAAGTTGATCAGGAGGGGAAATAATATTGCTGATCCTTCCCGAACCCTCCCCACTGAGCACCACCCCACTTCTGGTCCAGCTTCTTGAAATGTCTGGTTAATGGTGGTTGACTTTTTAAGATGTAGGAGCTAGGGCTAAAGGATGCTTTGAGATTATTATTTTTTTTTCTCCTCTCAAATAAACCTTCAGAGTTAAAAAAGAAAAAAATTCCCATTTTTCACATCTGTTTATTGAATATCCATTTTGTGCCATGAATGAGGATTCTGGGCTCCGGGAACAGAACAGTGACCAAAACCCAGCTCCTGCCCTCAAGTTGCTCCCATTCTAGTGGGGAAAATGGATAATCGTATTATGCAGAGCTCTGTCCTATAATCAGGCTAAGCTCAGAAGCTCACCAGGGCATGTGGGAGCAGAGGGAAGGCACCCAACCCACCTGAGGGGACTGGAAAATGCTACGAGGAGAAGATGACATCTGAGTCGAGCTCTGAAGAATGAGTAGGAGTAGGTGAAGCTGTGTGACCCTGGGCAACTTAACTGACTTCTCTGAGCATCAGTGTCTTGGTAAAATGGTTGTTAGTAGTATTCCACATGGTTTGGGGGAAGATTGAATGAGATTGTGTGAGATGCTTAGCACAGAGACTGGCACATAGTAGGAGTTCCACTTATGGAAGCTGGTTTTCCCTTGATGATGATGATGATGATGATGATGATGATGATGATGAATCCACAACTAGGGAGAGGAAAGATGAGAGGAGACTTAGAGGAGGGAAGGAGGTAGAGGACTCTTTCTTATCTCCCCCTCCACCCGGGACACACTTACTGACAACTCTGAGTGAGGGTTGAAGCATTGGTTACCTTTGACCTGGAAGTTCAAAATACATCTCCCATATGATCTTCACATTCTTTGAAATCTAAGAGAGGAGGAGGATTGCCTGTGTGTCCCAGCCCCCGTGTAGCGTGCTCACAGATGCACTGACACATTCATCCCAGGAAAGAAAACCTCAAACTCACCCATATTTATTTTCTTCCCTCCCTCCCTTGGTTTCTTTCTTCCTTCCTCCCTTCTCTCCTTCCCTCCCGCCCTCTTTTCTTCCCTTCCTCCCTCTCTCTCTTCCTTTTATTTCCTTGAATCAGGTCATTCTCCAAGAAGAGAAGGCACAGGTAAGAACCTTGTTGCCTCTGGCCGCTCGCTTCAGCTTTCTGCTTTTAAGCAGCTTCTAGAGTCAGCGCCCCGTCTCCATCTCTGTGTTCTTGGGCACATCCCCTTCATCTCCCTGGGCCTCCGTTTCCTCCAAAATGATGGCCTTGAGCTGGTTTCCCTGAAAGTTCCAAGCCAGCTTTCTACTGCCATCAGGCCGGATGGTTGCTCCTGGACCAGCCCCTGCTGATGCCCCTCCCTGGAAAGTCTCCCCACTCTTACCAGGGTCTGTTTTAGCGTGGGTTGAAATCTTGGGTGGGGGGCATGTAGAGAAACATCAGCCCCAGCCACCCCACCAAAGCCTCCCCAGACCCTAGCCAAGGGATGGAGGCCAAGTCCTACTGTACACTGGGTGAGCTGTCATCTACGGGGTACTCACTATAAACTGGGATCCTGCCCTGAGCTCTTTCCATGTGTGTGAGTTTAATCTCCATTAATGCCCATCACACCCCTTTGCAGTGGGTATGTTTATTATTCCCATTTTACAGGGGAAGAAACTGAGGCTCAGACAGGCATGTCCTCAGACACACAGTCAGAAGGTGGCAGAGCCAAAACTCAAACCCAGATCCACCAGACAGAGGATCAGGACACCCTGCGGTGGCCTCTTAAATAACAATAACAGTAGAGTAGCTGGCAGAGTGCAAGGCCCTTTCACTCACTCAGTTAACAAGCGGACGTTGATTACCGACATCATCCTTCTTCTCAGCCCAACAGCCTGAGCGATGGCCCCGTTTCACAGCCGAGGAACCCGGGTCTTGGAGAGACAGGTTGCTTACCAGATGTCACACAGCAGCTAAGCCGCAGAGCCAGACATAAACTGAGATCTTTCAGTGACGTTCTGGGCTCTTCCACAGCCCAGGCTGAGTCTCAAACACGGGGATAGATCCCGCAGCTGGATGAAATTGGATGAAATCAATTTCCCCTTCCCACCACCTAGGCCAGCGATGGGTTCTTGGTGACCCTCTGAAGCCAGTAGGGCTTGAACTACCAAATAGCATTCGCCCTCTGAGGCCTCTATTTCATTCCATAGGACCCCAAGTCATCGTTGTCCATTTGACCCACACCCCAGCCCTCTGACTTAAAAAAAAAAACAAACAACAGACTTGAATATTCATGAGCAGAACATTTCAGAATCTGCCAAGCTTTGTGAGGCTTCAGAACATCTCCCTGGATATTCCATTCTCTTCTCTCAGAAATGGATGGAACAGCAGCCAAGAGCATGGGCTCTGGGACCCAGGGTCTGGGGCCATGTCCCACCTCATCTGTGTGATCCCGGGCAAGTTTTTAGCTCCTCTGAGGCTCAGTTTCCACATCCACAAGTGTACTTCTAGGCTGCAGGAAGAATCAAATGAGATTGCCGACAAAAAACATTTAACAGAGTGCACACCCTATAATAGAGCCTTGAGCAATGGCGGATATTATTATCGTTACCTTTATAACGACTGTTATTATTAACCTATAAAGCTGCCCTTGGCATGCCGCACACCCCGTGCTCAGTCTCCGTGTGGGGTCGCTGTCTCTCGCTGAGCCTGCTGGGGGGAAAAGGTGGCAGCGACTGCTCTGGTGTTGGAAATGATCAGTGTCTGTTCCAAAGTTGCCTGCATCTAGTGGCCACTGTGTGTTCAGCATTTTAACTCCTTTATTTTTATCTTTAACTGGAATTCTGCATCTTTCAATTAATTGGCCATTTCTCGTTTAGCTCCTCTAGCCCAAAAAGCAAAAGAAGGGAAGAGAAGAGGCACAAAAAACAGTAAGTGGATTCCACCTGGAACATTCTCTCCGGGTTGGGGAGGTGGAAGAGCTGGCCTTGTAATAGTCAGCATCAGAGATGCCAATAATCAGGGAAAGGGAGAGGGGGCTGGGTGCAGGGAGAGGGAAGAAGGAAGGGAAAGACAGAACTGAGTGTGGACTCGCACCTGTGGTCTTGGGTACACATGAGTGTGCAAGGTTGTGTATACGCTGTGCATATGTGTGTGTTTGTGTGTGCGTGAAAGTGAGTGGTATGCACCTGTGTGCCTGGTGTGCCCAGTGCGTGCGAGTTCTGTGTGCCTGCATGTGCACTGAGTATATATGTTTGCAGTGTGTATATGTGTAGGGTGTATTGTTTTTAAACGTCTGTACATTTTTCAGCATGCAAACATTTGTGTGCGCTGTGCATACAAATGTATGCAATGTGGGTAAATAGTGTGTATGGTGTATATTTGCGTTCACACGAATGCATTATGTATGCCTGTGCTTATGTGAGCATGAACATGAACAGTGTCATGTTGGTGCACTGTCTGCTGTTGTGTGTGAATTCTACGCCCTCTGCGTGTGCACTGCTTATTAATCTGTGTGCATTATACAGATGGAGGCTGTGGGGTGGTTTTAGCTGTGCACATGCGTGTGCTGTGTGTGCATGAGTGGTTAAGGGGGCATGATCATGTGCGTGCACACGCGCGATTGTGTGTTTGCATCTGAGCCCTGGCTGCTGGGGCTTACGGCCTGGAGATACCCATGAAACTCCACCCGCTGTCTCAGGGCCCCGGCTGGTTCCCAGTTTATGGCTGGTAGTAGAAATTCAAATCAGCCAGCGCTGCCAGCGAGTTCAGTTCCCAGCCAAACAAAAGTAAATTTGGTTACAACTCATCTACTTTATACACTGCAAATGCTAGTGCGTGTGTTTTCCAATCAACTAATATTTTATCTCCCACCAAGAAGCTTCTAAAGGGAGGATCAAAGGCAATGAGATGAAAGGCAGTCGGCTACCGGGGAGGGAAAAGAGGAGGCAAGGGCGCAGAGGGAGGGCGCCAGCTTTGCTGTCCCAAGGGTCCTGTCACCCAAGGTCAGTGCGAAGGAGGGTATTTCAGCCACCACCACGGGAGCCTGGGGCATGCACTAGAAGGAAGCAGTAGAGCTCTGAGTTAGCTCAGGGGAGAACTTCTCGATCATTAAGCTTATTCAAGTCAAGAGGGAATTAGTGGTCTTATGTATTGCGTGTGCCTTCATGCTAAGCACAGACAGAGCGCATGTTCTTGGACACCTCCGCATCACTTGTCCAAGGGGGCTGCAGTATAGACGGCCACAGAGCCAGGGCCAGGGCCCAGACCCTAAGAGCTCAGGGAGACAAGGGCTGCCTGCCTGAGGGCAGCAAGGTGGCGGCCCTCCCCAGTGCCGAGAGCTGGATGAGTGCCAGAAATCGCTGGCAGGACATGAGAGAGGTTGTGTGAGCCAAAAGACAGAGTCGGGAGAGGGAAATGCAAGGCAAACAAGGCGCCCTGAGATGAGGGATCGTTATTCTTGCCGAGTCCTATGGTCAGGGCTGCTTCCAACCAAGGACCACGGGGCTGACGGGGCTTCCTTTATTCAACATCCCTTCTTGAGGGCCTCATACGTGGCAGCCCAGTGCTGGCCCAAGGACAGAGGTTAGCCAGACGCTCTCCCGGCTCGAGGAGCTCACAGGGCAGCAGGCACAGGAGACGAACATGGGACAGGTCACGGCACGGCGGTGGCACACGGAAGCCCAGGGTGCGGTGGGAGCCCTGGTGTGGAAGGAGGGCTGGGTGGTGACGGAGGCTGCCAGCAGGAGGGGTGTCCAGGCTGGGGCTGAGGAGGGAGGAAACCATTCTAGCTTTAAGCTCTGTGCCTCAGTTTCTTCATCTGTGAAATGGGAATAAGAGGAGAAGGGTTGTGAGGAGTAGATGAGTCCATTTAAGGAAAATGCTTAGGACACGGTGCCTGGGCACTAAATGTGTTGGATACGGGTTACCTCTCCTCCTCATCACCATCATCATCATCATCATCAGAAGGACAGCGTGAACCAGGAAATGGATCCAGGCAGTTCAGGGTTGCTTAAGCCTCCAGGCCAGGGCAGAAGATGTCATGCAAGGAGGCTGGAGAGCTAGGCAGGGGCTGGCTTCTGAAGGTGCTTGGGGATCAAGGTCAGAGTTTGGACTTGACATTAGGGCAGTGGGAAGGTTTTAAGCAGGGAAGGGAAATAGTCTGATCATTACAAGAATCCCTGAGTCCTCTCCTGGACAACAAGGCTGCCTCCCACTAGAGTCGTCTCTAACTCCCACTGGCTTGGCCCAAACCATTGCCATTCCTCGTACATCCTCAGTGACCACTGCCGCTGCTGCTGCTACTTCTGAGTTGTTGTCATCGTTTAGAGGGAGCTGAAGTAAGCTGTAATCATACCAGTTTTAGTAGCAGTGGTATTAATTATTGTTATTGTAATTTCTGTTGTCGATGACGTTTGTAACTCATTCTGAAAATGGGCTTTCGACTCCATGTTAAGAACTGAGACTTAATTTTCCAGGCCTGAGGTGACAAATTGACAGCCCAAAGGCCTAATTTACTCTGCAAATGTGTTTTGTTTGCCCCAAACAGTGTCTCTTTTTAAAATGAGCTTCCACTTCAGATAGGAATATTTCACATAAAAATCTGTATTTCTACATTCACTTGAAAAATTAGAAGACCCAGCAGCCTGCCACTGTCCTGGGGACAAAGCCACTCCTTTCTATAGCCCATGCCCTTCGGGTGACATTTTTTACTGCCTGACTGAGTCACCGTTGTGGTCCTGACTGGCTCATGCCGCTGTCTGAAATTGGGACTCTTGCCTTAGGTGAGGGAGAGGTGACGTGTGGAGGTGACGTTCGCATCCAGGGTGTGGTCTGCATCAGGCCTTCGGGCTGAGGGCCCCACGTCACCCAGGCCGTCCCCTGCAGGGCACCCATTTCCGCTCACTGGTGTTCTGCATGGCGGGTAGAGACCCGAGTCCCCAGGTGGGAAGCCGGGGGGTGGAGGGGCGGGTGGGGAGGCCTGCCTAGCTCTGGGAGGGGCAGTGACTTGGGTGCAAGAGGAAAATGGATGTCACAAGATCGAAAACCCTCTTTCTCCCCCTGCTCTTCTGACTTGCTCCTTCTCACCCCCCAGATCGCGAAGCCGGCCCCGAAAATCTCACCGCCACCGCCACCACCGCGGCCCGTCACGGTCCCCGAGCTCGGCGTCCCGCTCCTCCAGCTGTGAGAGCAGGTAAGCCCTCACCGCAGCCGCAGCCCCAGCCTGGTCTGAGCGGCCGCCCGTGTCATCAGCTCTGCCTCCTGCTGTCGCTGTCACTGTCGCGTTGGGGCCCCCCTGCCGGCAGAGGGACAGCCCATTGCCAGGCACTCGGCAGCTGTGGCCACTTCCCTGAAGAAAAGGCTGCCAACACTTGCTGCCTCCACTTAGAGAAGCAGCAGTAACCGTGCCTGCTACCATGTGTGCTTCCTACATGCAGGTGACACCATGCTGGGGTGCTGACCCCTCCTCCTGTGTCAACTCATGTGATCCCCTCTACAGCCCTAGGAAGCAGGTACCACTGTTACCCCATTTTAAAGATGAGGAAACTGAGGCACAGAGACGTTAAGGAGCTTGCTCGTCACTTAGTTACTAAGTGACAGAGCTCATATTGAACTGGGCAGTCTGGTTCTGGACTCTGCACTCTGACTCAGAGTTGCTCTAAGCACAGAGAAGCTAAGCAACCTATGAAAGGCCACACAGCACAAAGAACCTAGTCTGGAGGCCATTCCAAGTCAGGTTTCTCCTGACCTGGACCCGTTCTGCGCTGATATGTTGGCTGTCCCGGCCTGAGAAGGGCGACAAGGGTTCTCTTTTGGATGAGAAGGAGATCAAGAAGAAGGAGAAGCAACGAGGACTTTGCGGACGTTCATGATTGAAACTGCCGACGTCCAGCAGGAGCACACAGGCCTCCTTGATCGTACCGGCCAGCTTGCGGATGTCAGAGGCTGCTTTTTTCTTCCTTAAGTGCTTCTCGCACCTGGCTACATATTCACATCACCTGGGAAGATTTAAAAATCTCATCCCAGTTAAATCAAAATGTCCAGAGGGAGGAGGCGGAGGAGAAATATTTATCTAAATCCTACTGCGTGCCGGGCACTGTGCTACAGTTAGAAATACGTTTTCTCTCTTAATCATCCCAATAACAGCACGATCCAGACCGGGGCTTCCCTGCTCCGGCTGCCCTTTCCCATCCCCTGGGAAGTTTTTACAGACACCAACGCCTGGGTCCCACCCTCTAGACTTTCTGATTTAATTCGGATGAGGTGGGGCCAGGGCAGCGAGATCTGTAAATCTCCCCAGGTGGTGTGAACATGGAGCAGAGGGTGAGAAGCATTTGAGAAAGAAATGCAGCCCCCGACATCTCGAACTATCGCTGGTGGTCCTTGGTGTTCACGCCAAATGTCAACGATTGCAAAGAACATCGACATCAGACAAGGCTGTTCGCTCTGGGACCCTGAGTGATCACGACAGAAACAAGACCCCTCTGTAATCCGGTCTGAGCCCAGAGGAAACAGGAACTCTGTCCAAAACGCAAAGGCGCCCCAGCGTCTCTCCGTCCTGGCTGACAGGAGTGACTGCTGCTTCTTTACCACTCAGAGCCTTGGCCTCAGTCTGGTCTGCCCTCCTTCTAGAGAAGATTCGTGAAGATACTGAGTCAGAGGATGGGCTCTGCTTTCTGATGGCATCTAACCCAGAACAAAGCCCCCATTCCTGAGACGCTCCCCAAAGCCAGCCACCATACGCCCAGAGCAGGTTCTCAGTACCACCCTGGCACAGAGCCATCCTCCCCTCCCCCGTGCGCGTCCTCCCTCACGGCCAGGAGCGCTCAGCGCCTGGGCAGCCGCAGGTGGGCTCCTGGTGGCTTTTGTCTAGAGGGCATTGATGCGCTGGGCTGAAGTGCCTTCCTGACGCGTCACAGCTGAGAAAAATGTCTTAGTGGGCAAAGGGGGGCGTGGGGGGGGGGTCTGAGCAAGGTCATGTGACTGGCAGAGCTGGGACAGGGACCTGGGTCTATGTGACGCAGCCTGAGCCCTTCGCTTCCAGCCCAGGCTGAATCAGCTCTCGGCAGCTAAGCCCTGCAGGTTTGGGCCAGAGGATGGCGCCGGGCCTGCCTCACACACTCGGGGCGCTCCACCTTCCCTGTCACTTACCTCTTAGGGAAATGGCTCACATGGCAGACCGCAGCCCCAGCCCTCCTGCTGTCACCTCCCCTGGTGGTGCTGTGGTCTGAGCTCCCCAGTGTCTATTGGACTAAGGGACACTCCAGCATGCATGGGAGCAACCTGAGAGCCGGCCCTCGGACCACACCCCCAATAGAAGAATGATCTGGAGGCCCCAGAGCAGGGAAAGACACTCCAGAGCAAGAACCAGAGGCATCGGTTCTGATGGGAGCAGAAAAGTCTGCCCTGCTCCTGGTTCTGCCACTTACAAGCTGTGTGACCTCAGGCAGTTTCCTAAACATCTCTGAGCCTCAGCTCCCTCATCAGTAAAATGGGAAAGTAATACTGCCCTGTCTGTGTCTTCAAGCTGTAGAGAGGACTGTGAAAGCACCTTCAGAGGGATTTACAAGTGCCATTCAAATCAATAAAGTGTTATTTTTATTCCTACTGTGGCTCAGAGCTGACGGACTACGCAGAATCCAAATATACTCGTTCTATGGAGTCAGAGATTCCTTTGGTTTCCACTGCAGACAGGGCAGCGAGATCTAAATCTGACAAGCATGCAGAAGGCATCTTTGTCATTTTTGTCAGCTTTTGCTTTTTCCCAAAAGTTTTGGGTGACAGTCAATAGGATGCCTCTATTTCACAGATGGCGAAGTCACATACACAAAGACACACAGATAAACGCAGTTATATTTATAGGCAAACACATGAAAACACAGATGGACACACCCAGACATACACACAGTCACAGACAGACGGACAGACACACAGGTGCACAAAGGACATTAAACTGCATCAGAATAGGGACCTTTTCCGTCTTCACAGCTGCAACCCCAGCTGAATCAACGTTTGTTGAATGAATAAATGAGAGGATGAGTGAATGAATGGGCAGGTGGGTGGGTAGATGGATGGACGCCACATAGTTCATACAAGCACAGCCAAACACACTCTGTCACCCACAGATCCTGCTGGTCCCTAACCACCTCTCTGCCACGCTCCCCTTCAAAAGATCCTCAGATCTCTCCCTCCTGCCCGCAGGCACCGTGGCCGGTCCCCTGAAGAAGGGCGGAAGTCCCGCCGAAGACACTCCCGCCGCTGCTCCAAGACCCTCTGCAAGGCCAGCCCCGAGGCCCGGTCCAGCCGCCCGCCCAGCCAGCCCCTCCAGATGCTCAGCCTCCTGTCGGCCAGGGCTGTAGTAAGTATTCCGCACGGCCTCCTCTGCCAGTCTTGGCCCCGACGCCTGGGGGAGGTGGAGGCACGAGTTCAGGGCAGTGTACAACACATGGTCATTCAGTTTCGGGCAAATATCCCACTGGTTTCAGACCTCATTATTGACTCACCAGACCATCATTCGCCAGCCTTGGGCAGCACTCGGCTTGGGAATTTGGGGTAGGGGGGAAAGGAGGGGAGAAAAATGAAAACTAAAATACCCAGTCTTTTTATCAAGGGAACATTGAAAACTATGTATTGGTCTCCAGAGTGCCATGTGCAGGAATGCATGTGTGAGACACCGTAGGTTTCTTTAAGGAGGAGGGAAAAGGGGGTATTTGATGTCACAGAGGCACTCCAGCTTTCCAGTGAAGTCACATCTTTGATGGCAGCTAGCCTGAAGCATTGCTTACCAGCTGGGGTTTGGTTTCACCTGTATAAACACGGCCTTGAATTTCGATGACCTTTGTCCTCTCACGTGTCCACACAAGGTTTCAGGGAGTTGAGGGCACAGCAGCCCTCACTAGTCCCTTCCACAGATGGGACAGAAAAACCAAGGCTCAGAGAGGTTAAGGTCTGGGGAGAAGACACAGAGCAAAGCAAGAGCAAATCCAATGTAGCGGCCCAGCATTGAATGGAATCATGCCATGCTCCCTCAGGTGGACAAGGAGGAGCTGGAATGTGACTTCAGACAGTTTGACACTAAGAGGTTTCCTCAGCAAGAGATTTGGGAGCTGGATCTGAACACAAGTCCCAGCTTTGCCACTTCCTAGCTGGGTGGCTTCGGGAAAGTCACTTACCTCTCTGAAACTCAGTTTTCTCATTGGTAAACTTGAAATAATACCCCCTCCACATGGGACTGTTGGGGTTATCCAATAAGATAAAGTATGTGAAGGCCTTGTGTGGCCTCTAAAGGGACAGACAGACAAATAGGAGACTCAGTGTGGACGTAGCCTACACTCATGGCTGACAGCTGGGAAGAGAGCTGTCTCCTCTAGCTACGAGAGAACCTGAAAATCTCAGAGAGCTGCTCCTTTAGAAAAGACGAGGTGGAACTAAGGAAAAGCTTGGGGTGCCTGCTGGGAGGGCAAGGAAGAGAAGGTGACCATAAATACTAATTGGGCCTGGTTGACACAATAGTTATTACCTGCAGTGCATTCTGGGAAACTTCTTTACCCATCAAGGCACCCTGTATCACCAACATCTGATTTTGCCCAAATCCTCTGCCCAGCTGGACTGTCCCCAACTCTCCCAGGCCCCTCCTTTGCAGAGATGCCTGTGGTTGCCGAGTATTTTGCAGATGGAAAATGCCCACCTGCCTTCTCCCCTCCCTGAATGTCCTATAAAGGTCTTCCCAGTATGGCAAAGAGTCGCGAGGCCTGGGTTCAAGTTCCGGCTTGACTGGAGAATTCCTCTTAGCCTAACCTCAGCTTCCTTATCTGGAAAATGGGCATGATTATCCCACTGGTCTTCCAGGGGAATTGTTGCAAAGATAGATATAAATTCAAAATATGAGCAATAGAGGGTGGAAGAATGTTTTTAAGTTAGTAAATGCCACCCATTCTCCCTGGTCATGGATTTGTGGCAGCCCATTTGGTGGCCCCAACTGCCCCTCACTAAAAAGAGCCACTGGGGGCAACTGGCTTATGTCTTCTCACCTGCCTGGGGTGGTTTCCTAGCAGGTCAGGTCTGTCAAAATGTTGCAAAGAGGTGAATGTTGCAAAAAAAAAAAAAAGGTATGGTCCTCCCAATACCAGCTGGTGAGGTTCCAGATTGGCTGTTGGTTCTGCAAGCCTCCATGTGTCCCCGTGGGCCCAGCCCCTATCAGAAGAGCTGGAAGCTCATCCATACCTAGAGGGGAGAGGCCTTAAGAGCTCACCAAATCAATGCCCTGATTCCAAGAAGAGGAACTGAGACTCACAGAAGAGTAATGGCTTCCGTGGTCAATGGAATGTAAGAGTTGTGAAAAACAGGGGGTTATGACAATGCAGTCAAATCTGGCTCTGAACTAAGGGTAGTTACTTAAACCTTTTGGAACCACAGTTTCCTCATCTGTTAAAAAAAAATACAGATAATAAGTCTCTTCTTCAAAAGCCTTGTTAGGACCAGAGCAAAATAATGTTGTAAACTGTCGAACCCAGTGCTTGGCATGGGACAAAATCCGGCAAGTATTAGTGGGCGTTATGATGACAACATTCCAGATGCTGGCTCTGTACTTAGCAACTGTGGAAGCTTGAGCAAGTTATGCAAACTCTCTGTGCCTCAGTTTCCTCCAAATCTGCAAAACAAGAATGATAATAGGACCTGCCTGCTAAGAGGTATGTTAGGAGGATTCAATGACCTAATGTAAGTAAACATTTTAGACTGCAGCAGGCAAGTGGTAAAGGGTCTGTCATGGTTGCTGTTAATGATGGCAGCAGGAGTATTCACAGCGGACGTGGTCATAGCAGCAGCAACAATAGCAGCAGCCCTGGTCATAGCCGTGGTCGTAGCCATAACAGTGGTCTGGTTCCAGGTCCAGGCTAGTCAGTGGATGATTTGGGATTAGAGCCAGGCCACCTGCTCCCCTTACTTTTAGTTTCCTTCCATCTTAGATAGCGGCTGCAGCCCGAATGGCTGCACCCGTTCATGGTTGCCTGACTCCTGGGGGCCTCAGCTGCCCCCCAAGTCTGGTCCTCTGAGTGCACTCCATGCTAATCCCTTTCTCATCTTCTCTCCTGCAAAGGCAGAGATGGAAGAAAGTGGCAGGCTGGACCAAAGGTTTCCGAGAGTCCTGGCCCCAGGAGTTTTCCGAGCTCTTTGTCTAAGAGAACAGCAAAGTCGCTGTCATTGAATTCCCTGTTCAGTCACTCATTCAAATGACCAGCGATCTAGCGAGCATCTGCAGAGTCAGCCCTGATGTGGCTCTCAGGATCCACTGAAGAAGAAACAATCTGTGCCTCTTTAGAGGGACACAGACAAGGTCAAAACCGTAAAAGACAATACACAACGATTGATGGGGAGATGCTGAGATGGGGTGGAAGGTAAGCAGGCAGGGAAGGGAATTAGGGTTAGGATTAGGTTAGGGCAGAGAAGGCGACAACTGCCTGAGAAACTAGTAGCCAAAGGAAGCAGGAAATGAAGACTGGAGATGGGGGTGGAGACAGGATTCCAGGGCAAGAGCTGGGGCTCTGGAGCGTGGAGGGCCTTCTATGCCATGGTTCCTGCCACATGCCACTGCAGGCATTTCATATGCACAGCTCTTTAAAAGATCAGGGACGGGCACATTACACCCAGGGGGCATATTTGCATATATGAATATGCAAATGTGGGTTGTGTCTTATGGAAATCCTAGTTGGTGAGCTAAAGATAACGTGAAGCCCTCTTGTTCTGTCAGAGCCCAAATCCAAGTGGAGGGTCCTAAGGTGATGATTTAGGGACCCCTCCCAGCCTCACTCATGTTCCTTATCTCCACTCGACCATCTCTGTTCAAGACATTTGGGAGACACAGATATGAATAGAACACCCTTCCTGACTCCAGGGCTCACAGTGTAGGAGTCAACAGCAGCTGCAGTTGAGTGAGATAAGTGTTGTAATGAGGGCTGAGACCAAGTTGGTGAGCACCAGCATCTCCTCAGTTGCAAAAATATTCAAATACTTGCACACCAGTTGGTAAACAGACTCTGTCACTAGCCCATCCCCCAGTCAAGGCAGCCATCCCTTCCCTGCCCTGGTACCTTCTGGACCTTCTCACAGTCCAGCAACTAAAGAGTGACACCTGACAGCCCTTCAGTGCCAAGGCCAGCTACCTTCGGGTGGAGCAGTACCCACACTCAACCAGTTGTTGAATATTTTGAATATCACCCCCAGCAGTGATGGAAGCAAGTACAATGTGTAGTAGGACCACAGAGGAAGGACCCAAACAATGTTGTCTTGGTGTCTGAGAGGGCTCTACAAATAAAGGAACATTTGACCTGGGCTGTGAAGGATGGGTAAGAGTTCACCAAATTGAGATGGCCAATGAATAGAGGGAGGATGAAATACCACTATGTGCCAGGCACTGTCACATACTTTATTTTTTGTTCTCGTTTGATCCCCAAAATAGTTCTTTGAAGTAGATGAAATTATTATCACCATTTTTCGGATGGGAAAACTGAGGCTCAGAGAGGTGAAGTGACTTAGGTTGGTAGCCCAATTGGGAGGAAGGGGAGCTGCCTGGTATGAATGGTGGCTGGTGCCTTAGAAGCTTCCTCTGAGAGCCAGAGGACCGAATGGGTGACAGAGAGGCTGGTGGCCCCAAGGTTTGGCCAAGTCCTTTCCCTGTTGCCTGAAGTTCTCTGTTAAGTCTGTCTTAACTGGAAAGGGAATCTGGAGGGGGGCAGATGAAGACGGAAGCTAGACCAAGGAGAAGGGCAGGCTCCTTTTCTCCTCCTCCCATCTCCAGCTTGGGCCAACAGTTGCCACGTACTCCTTGTCGCAACCTGCACAGATGCCATGATAAAAAAAAAAAAGCAGAATTGGGGGGCCATCAGAGGGGGCCTTGTGAAATCTGGAAGCAATAGAGGGAAGTGACAAAGACAAGGGCTTCGGAGCAAATCTGGATTCTCTGGAATTCTTGATCTCATCTCCCTCTGAGACCCTGCGTGACAGCAGCGACTAATGCTTCCGGAGTACTTACTGTGTTCCAGGCTGAATTCTCTACTTGTCATCTCATGTATTTCTAATAATAGCCCTTCTAGTATCTAGGAGCTCCCACTAGTATCCTCAATTTACAATGAAACTACAGCCTAGAAAAATTAAGTAAAAGGCAGCTATGAAATGGAGAAGTCAGGATTTGAACCCAGAAATTCTGACCTCAGAGTCCATGTGCTTAAATTACATGACCTCCCTCGTGTCATTTCACTTTGCCGGGCCTCAGTGTTCTCATCTGTCCCTTGGGCTAATAGTCATATCTACCTCATAGGATGGTTGTGGGGATGGAGTGATATAAGGGATCCATTCATTTAA